AAGTTTTTTTTTTATTTTTAACACTAGCTGTTTCCGTGCGACTTCATCCGCATAAAATTATGAAAATTTTATTTCATTCTTTACATTTGTCAAATTATGAATTGCATGTCAAAATGGCATGAAGATGACAAACCATGGCAACCTTGCTTCCTTGATGTTGGCAGCAACTTATTGTCTCTTTCTCACATTAGGGTTTTTATCCAAAATATTTACCCCCTGAGTTTAATGGCGTGAAAATGTATAGCCTAAAGCGTGACGTAAGTGTAGGGCTTTTTATTAAAAAAAGAATTATTAAAAAATATGCTGTAATAGCTGACATCTTAGCCAATAAAGAAGTGTGTGTTTACGCTTTATTATAATTATATATAGATTGTAACCTGTAATTCGCTTACCAATAAAAATTTGTATTTGTAATACGCACCGTGTAAGACGAGCCTCTGCAGCTCCGAGCACTGCCAGCAGAGCAGCACCAGCGGGTCGAACATGTTCGCCACCTCCAACTTAAGAATTAAGTAAAAAATATTAGTATAATATCATTACTAACTTAAACTAGACATTTTATCCGGCTTTCAAAGGACCAACAGTAATCTATAGAAGGGCCAAGATCTTGTGTGACCTGTTTAAATCGATACGAACAAATATATGAGAATCGAATTTTCGAAGAATGAAAAATCGATGTTTTTCGTTCGATTTATGTGTAACATTCTTTTAATTTTTTAAGTATTTACTGATGCAATATTGTAGAAACGTTAAAATTCGAATTTGTATGTTATGTTATGTTAATTTATCTCTTACTATTTGCTAATATTATTAATATGATAGTTCAAATGTTTGTTTGAATTTGCCTTAATTACTGAACGGATCTCGATAAGTCAAAGAGGTCGGGAAGCACACAAACTACTTACTTTTGTTTTTTAATACCACGGCCGAAAGCTATAGTATGTCTAAATAATTTAGATTAGTTTGACAATTCATTTCAAACTTAGTAGGGATGGGTTGTGTAAAATCAGTCATGAATCTTATCGATATTCGATTTTTATTCTTATAGAAGTTGGAATCGATAGATTTATAGTTACAATTTATGAATTTAAAAAAAAAACACTGTTTTCTTAAATTAATAATGACCATAACAAATAATGAGAGTAAATAAATGTTTATTACTACTACAGCCGTACGTAATCGAATTGGATTTCGCTATTCTCTACAGAATTTAGCGATGACAGAAATATAATCAATACTAGAATTGTCCTATAAATTAGTTAATAAGAAAATAATAATTTTAGTTGAGTTCGACAATTATTTAAAACGAATATCGATAGTTCAAAATTGTTCGCTGCGTGTTTGTTTCGTCACTACGATACCTGTCTATTAAGTACGGCATTTGCTTTCATACAAATTGAATTCGATACTTCATATGCGTCATTTATCAAACTAATCTATTTTATTTAGACAAACTATAGAAAAAGAAAGCAATTGTACTGTCTTAATTAAAAGAAAAATGTATCATGCCCACCAATACAAAGTTGTTAAGCGAAGTGTCAAATTTGACTATAATTCGTTTACGACTGAAAATGTTTTTAATATTGTTTATTACCGCATCGTCGCTGGCTTCCTTCAGCAATATTTCTTTATCCAGGACGGGGTCGAAGGGGCTGTCGACCCACACCAGCTCGCGCAGAGTGTCCTTGTAGTAATACGTCAACAGCTTGAGCATTGCCAGACAAAACTGTCGACAAACAATACACTGTATGTACTAGCTGTTCCCGTGCCACTTCATCCGCATGAAGTTATAAAAACTTTATCTTATTGTTTATTAAATTACAAATGTCAAAATGACATGACATGATGACAACCTTGCTTCCTTGATGTTGGCAGCAACTTATGGTCTCTTTTCCACATTAGGGTTTTTATCCAAAATATTTACCCCCAAAGGTTAATGGCGTGAAAATACATAGCCTAAAGCGTGATGTACGTGTGGTGAATTTATTAAAAAAATAATTATTTAAAAACATGCTGTAATTGCTTAGATCTTACGCCACAAAGTAGTGTGTGTTTACGCTTTATTATAATAGTATAGGTATAGATAATATAGCCTATGTTACTTACCGATAAATTACCTTTTTAACGGTGAAAGAATTTTTTAAAATCGGCCCAGTAGTTTTAAACCCTATTTATTACAATCAATGTTTTCCTTTTTATAATATTAGTATAGAAAACAATCTTACTAATCTTACATCTTAATATTATGAATGTGAAAGTTTAGATGGATGTTTGTTAGAGTTTGTAGCCTAAACGACTAAACGGATCTCGACAAAACTTGGCATAGACGTAGAGGGTAGTCTGGAAGACCACATAGGCTACTTTCTTTTGTTTTTTTTGAACTCCATGCGGACGGAGTTGCGGACGAAAGCTAGTATAATATAAGGAACACTCACCGTTTTACAAAACAAAACCTTCATAGAGGTGAGCGGCATTTCCTCCACCAACACGTGCGACATCACTTTGGGGAACTTGCTCTGCGGCACACAGATCTAAAGAAAATAACTAAATTCAACAGAAATGTAATAATAATTAACACATATTATCGTCCCTTTTATTCATTTTGAAACAGACAGACAAATATTGCGGATGTGGAATTTCAAAGTACTACCGTGGAATCTGTCGGTGTTACAACTTGAAACCTGGTCCAAAGGTTTAACCGTTATACAACAAAGCGTCATTTTAAGAATTTTTAATGCGATCTTAAACGTGCCATTAAATAATTATTACGTTTATTACATGACTAGCTGTTCTCGTGCGACTTCATCCACATGAAATTATAAAAATTTCAATTTATTGTTTACATTTGTCAAATTATCAATTCCAAATGTCAAAATGACATGACATGATGTCAAACCATGGCGACCTTGCTTCCTTGATGTTGGCAACAACTTAAGGTCTCTTTCCCACATTGAGCTTTTTATCCAAAACATTTTCCCCTAAGTTTAATGGCGTCTAAATATATAGCCTAAAGCATGACGTAAGTGTAGGGCTTTTTTATTAAAAAAAGAGTTGTTCAAATATATGCTGTAATTGCTGACATCTTAGGTAACAAAGTGTGTGTTTACGCTTTATTATATTAGTATAGATATAGATACAGGGTAATGACATTGCGTTCGCTTTTTATATGATACGTACTTCATACTTTTACGGTGTTTTTTTTTATGGCACGCGTGGCATTGGTTCGTCATCCCTGATCTAGTCTATTGAATGTTTTGTAGGTATTTAGACAACCAACAGAACGCTGCTTTTAAATTTGTCTGTACGAAAAATGTTAAATCAGTGCTACAAATTGCTTTTATTATTCCGTCATTTGCGCAGCTCCCTACATATTGTTTTCTTTTTTGAAAGTGTAACACTGCGGATGGTACTGACTGTACATCATGCGAAAGTTTACATGGATGGATGTTTGATAGAGTTTGTAAACCTACACTGATGAACGAATATCGATGAAATTTAGGATATATGAAAAGGATAGTCTGGAAGAACACATAGGCTACTTACTTTTTTATTTCACGCGGACGGTGTCGCGAACGCAGGCTAGTATTATATATCGACTCGGTACATTGTATTATCTTACAGTTACCGTCAAAAATATTAAAACTGGAAATTCCACACTTACCATACTAACACAAATTTTGAGACCTCTCGGAAAGAATGTGTTCAATTTGTCCCAATTTAACGGCTTGCGTTCGATATCAGATTTATCAGTGACATCAATGTTTAGGAAATGGAATTGTTTCAGACATGAGAGACGTTTCACTAAATCTGAATCCACGAAGTCATAATCGATCGTTAAAATCTGAAACATAATAAAAAAAAACTCAGTATTGGATAAAACATTTTGACGAAATTCAATGGAGTTTCCTGAAGTAATTAACAACTGTGTTTGGGAGGCAAGAATAAACATTATAAAATAATGAAGAAAACTCGAACAGAATATAAGGGCTACAATAATCAAGACAGGTGGGCGCCTGCTAGTTTTTAATGTTACCAGTTAGCTAAAAATTCCCAACTTCTTTCGAAATTCTCCTATGTTGAAAATATAACCAAACCCACCGATTATCAATATGAATGCTCGTAGTAATTACTTTATATTACTTTATAAATCGATACAGCTATAGAATTATTCAAGCAAAAATGGACTTATTATTTTTTATTAAAAATTATATTTGGAATTAACAATAACGAGTATTCGTAAGTTAGCATAATGATTATTTCCCGATTAGCAAATACATCATGTTAAGTATTGGGAGTAGTAAAACGATAGCTTGCTTAGCACAGACTGTTTATTCAACCAGCTGTCATATTGACGGCGGGCGCAGTCGCCAGTTCGGAAACAATACACAACACATCATATATCACACGTGATTTTTTTCTGGAATTTCGAAATTATGACACTGGCAACATTCTTCCATGCAGTTGTCCCTTATCGTTGGTCAAAATATGATGCTTTCAATGACCTTAGTTCATTAAATTGTTACTGCCATATGAGTATGACCCTTGTAGGTCTGCCCTTGAAGTGAGACATGTTTTGATGTGAATGTTTCGTCAGTGTGAACTCACTTGAATCATTGAGAGTGCGGTCGCGTTGGCCAAGTTGACGCCTTTTCCGGGTTTCAAGACATTATTGAACGATAAAGCTAGCGGGTCGCACTCCGACTCTAAACACTGTAATGTAACAAAAATAAAATATTCATTATTTCATTTATAATCCACAATCCACACAAATTGCTTAGTTATGTAGGGTAACAGCACTCACAGCATAGTTTTGAATAATTTTTATTTTAATAAAAAGCCCTTCACTTACGGCACGTTTTAGGATCTATATTTTCACGCTATTAAACTTAGCGGGTAAATAAATTGTAAAAAACCGCCATGCGGGGCAAGTACACAATTGTAAGTCAATAAAATCAAAGAAGCAATATTGTAATGGAAGCGGTAATTAATATCCAATGTCAGAGACCTTTGCAATTGAAACTTTTACAATAATAACATGAACAATAAAATAAATTTCTTATAATTTCATGCGGAACGCACCGGAATAGCCAGTTGTTTAATTAGCTAAGGGTAATTACCCTATTGTTTTACAATTTATGAGAAACTAGCCTTCGCTGCGACGTCGTCCGCGTGGAATTAAAAAAAAAAACTAGTACTAGTAGCCTATGTGTCCTTTTTTTATAACATAAGGTGGTAACCAAGCAAGCGGCCACCTGAATCCGCCAAAATGGCGAAGCAACCGCTGCCCATAGACATCCGCGATCGCAGATGCGTTGCCTACCTTTATCCGACGGAGGAGGAGACGCACATAAAGAGGATATTGCCCCTTCCTATGCATCTCCTACACCGTTAAATCCACTTCCCCTTCCCATCCTCTGTTTATAAGAAAAGGGTGGTAAAGAGAAAGGGACTTAAATTAGGCCTCCGGCACCACACTCATCAGACTGTACACGGAATCGCTTCCACTTCACGCCTGTCTTCTGTGTGGTCGTGGTATTACTGGGGGCGTGCCGGCCCTGCAGTGCTAACATGTTAAAGCGGGCACTACCACTGTCCTTCCAGGCTGTACTCTACATCTACGCCAAATTTCATCAAGATCCGTTCAGCGGTTTAGGCAACAAACTCTAACAAACATCCATCTAAACTTTCACATTTATTATATTAGTAAGTAAGATTATGTATTAACGAAATGCTGTCTGAATTAAATATAATAGTTAAAACTTACCGTGTATTCGTCTTCTTTAACCGACTCCAACGGGCTAATAGTACAGCCCATAAGGTTCAGCGATTCTAAGTTATTGAACGGCAACGAATCCAATGTTTCTCTGAAAAATATTTAAAACTCCACATGTATACACAATAAAAGATTCTTGTAATTTCACTAATACCTTCACACAAATAGCTAGAACATACTGAAGGATGGCTACTTTTGGAACCCTTCAACACAAAAGCCAACACATGCTGCTTTAAGAACAAAGGGCACAATTATGACCTATGTATTTTGACATAACTAAGTTTATAGTCGATTTATATCTGTACTAATATTCCACGATGTCCACGAGTGGCTGACTGAGATAGTTAATGAGTGAGCGAGATAGACATATAATTAGTCAACACTTGAAGCGGGATTTTTTGTATGAGATGACAAAGAGCCACCGAAATTCACCAAAATATTACGTTACAATCAACAGAGGAAAGGTCGCACTGAAAAATGATACTTCCCCTACCTATTTATCCCATGCCCTTTTTTTTGTTACCCGAGGGGAAAGCATCTTACGCATACTCCGCATCCAGGGGGGACGCGGTAGTTATGTGGAACTCTTCCCCATAATGGGGGTCATACCCACTAAACCCCTCGGTGTGTATCCCATGCCCTGCCAAATCAATACTGTCACATCCTTTACTTGTACCAAAAGGTGGAAAGGGCCAAAGGACTTAAATAATGTCTGCAAGACGCAAAACGGACGGGTCTATCGTTTATGCTAATACTTAGCTTGGTGATGATCGGACTACAGTATGGATAGCCATCCATCTTCGGCCTTCCTCTACCTTTATAGCCACAAAGGTAGAGGAAGACCGAAGAAATGTATGAATTGTGTTAAAGAGGATATGCTTAAGGGAGTGGAATCAGATATGACGGCTGATAGAGATATATGGAAGAGCAGCACATTCGTGATAGGACCACACGTGGACACCTCAGAGAGTCTGTCGGACTATAAATTAACCTGATAATTGATTTGTAATTTCACATTAATTAGTGCTTGACCACATTCCTACCTGATGTTATTCGGCGATGTGATCTAAGATGTTACGCACTAGATTAGCCTATTCTTTCTTCTCTCCAGCAGCGTAACGTGACGGACGGACGCCGTACGATGGTAAACGGCCGTCTGTCCGTCCTATAGTGGAAATGTTACGAAATTAAGTTTTGAAACCTAACCATAGTAATACTAGCTGTTCCCGAGCGGCTTCATCCGCATGAAGTGATTTTATTGTTTACATTTGTCGGATACTCAAATGCAAATGTCAAAATTACCGTTGCCATGATAAACTTGCTTCCTTAATGTTGGCAACTTGTAGTTTGGTCCTTTTCCCACATGAAGGTTTTTTTAAAGTTATTTACCTCCCAAATTTAATAGCGTGAAAATATTTTTATTAAATCAAGCTTTTTATTAAAAAAAAGAGTAATTCGAAAATATGTTTTGATTGCTGACATCTTTGGCAACAAAGTAGTGTGTGTTTACGCTTTATTATATTAGTATAGATAGATATAGTATACAGTATAGATGTATAGAAAAAGATTTGTATTTTGATTATTTAAAAAGCTACATCATCAGTGACTAACGTAGGCTATATTTTTCTTTTTTTTAATTCCCACGCGGACGAAATCGCGAGCATCAGCTAGTACTTCTGTATTATCTATGGTATACTAATATTATGAAGAGGAAAGATTTGTATTTTTTATGTATTGAAATAACTCAAAAACTACTAGGCCGATTTCAAAAATTCTTTCACCATTGAAAACATAACGTAACCACTGTGTAACATAGGGAATATATATTACAATTTATATTTCCGCGCGGCCGAAGACGCGAGGAACAGCTAGTACATACATTTGTAGATGCAGACAAGACTTTAACGTAACTATAACCTCTTTGTATTTCGGCCGAATTCTTGGTGCATAGACTAAGGGTTGGACAATGTATTTGGATCTAAATAGTAATTTTTTTTTTCACTGGCGTTTGTTACGGTTATTGATTGATTGATTGGCAGCTCTATCGTTGGCTATGAAAAGGTATTTTCATACAAAGATGTCATCATGTAAAGGGGCCAGCTGAAAACAAGTGCAGTAACGGCCTGCGCCGTCCCTGCATTAGCTGAGCTTGCCACCTTTTGCCACATTTCTCTTTTTTTTATACTAGCTCTAAGGTTTTGTGTATTAAATGTTTTATGTAGTTTTTTTGTGGCAATAAAAATTTTATTTTTTTATCCAAAGTTAATCGTTTATACCTAATGGTTTTATTTTTAAACGTTGAATAATAAATCTCTTACCGTTTGAGCATAAACACTGGTGAAAAATACTCCTCTTGTAAGTAGATTGGCCCAACAAATGTAATTTCTTTTATCATTTTCATGTCGTAAAATCTGTAATGAAAAAAAAATATTTTGAAAATAATATTCAAAGATATGTAGAATTCGTACAAAAGTTGGTATTGAAATTGGGTTGCATCGTTGGTTTAATTTCGTTAAACAAAAGTAAAATAAATTTGGGTTTTGAAAACACACTTATTATGCTATAGTTAGTTAGGTCATCTACACTATTATAAATACTAATATAATAAAGCGTAAACACACACTTCTTTGATGCCTAAGATGTCAGCAATTACACCATATTTTTAAATAATTCTTTTTTTAATAAAAAGCTCTACACCCCATTAAACTTAGGGGGTAAATAATTTGGATAAAATCCTAATGTGGGAAAGATACCATAAGTTGCTGCCAACATCAAGAAAGCAAAATTGCCATAATTGGTATTTTGACTTTTGGAATTGAGAATTTGACACATGGAAACAATGAAATAAAATTTTCATAATTTTATGCAGATGAAGTGGCACGGGAACAGCTAGTATAGCATAAATAACTATCTTATTATGTATGTTTTGTTTCGCAACAGAATTCCAATGGACTTTCACTAACGAAAATAAGCACGTTGGTTTATACAGTTATGTTTTGTATCTACAGAAATTAAAGAAAGCATTATAACAGACACTAAAGATGTTTCTAAGTGTAGTTAGAATGAGAAATCTATGTAAAAGACTAAAGAAGATTAATCGATTCTGAGTACGGCAGAAAGGGCCTCATTTCGCCATAGGGATTGGTTTTAAAATACCACATTAAGCTTTAGAATGTACTTAAATACGCGATATCTCTTTATAATCTTTAGATTAGAGTTTAGATAGATGGATGGATGTTTGTTAGAATCTGTAGCCTAAACTGTTTTTAGGCATAGATGTAGAGGATAGTATGGAAGAGCACATAGGCTACTTAAATTTGTTTTTCTTAATTCCACGCGAACGGATTCGCGGGCGAAAGCTAGTATTAATTAAAGGTAACAATGAAGTCTCTGTATGATCGAAATGTGTACAAAATATGATTTATTGTCTGTTTAATAATACCACAAACTGTAAATTTCGATGATCATATTTGCTCGAAGAGAGTAAAACATCCGTGCAAAATGTTTCCAATAGACTTAACATTAGGTACAAGGACAACGCGGCCGACTAGGCTTTCTCAACACAAATAAAAAAAACTGTATAAATTACAATTTACACATATCAAATTAGTTTATAACATTATTAAATGGAAACTGAGATTTTTTGTAAGATATGAAAGTAGCAGACCGAAAAGGTATTGTTTATGTGAAAAAGGGATAGAATCTATAGAAGAATCGACACTACATTCATAAGGAAAAGAACAATGATGATCAGAAGATAACTACTGTTCAGAAGAAAGTACCGTGCTGTTGAATTGGCGCAACACTAGATTATCGGCATAAACGTCGCATCCCTAGCTGACAGCTGTCAATGTCATTAGAAGGATTGGATAATCGCGCGCATTCCTGACGAGATCTCTAGTAGTGTTTAAATTGATATCGCTAGTTACAATTATATTGATTGTTTAAAACTACTTACTGAGTAAATACATTAGACATGAAATGCTTTAGGTCTTCTTCGCTGGAATCCATGAATATGTAGATGAGTTTCACTTGCTTTCTAAACACGCGGGTTAAGAAGCAGCTTTTCTCCATGTGACTGACGCGCAGTTTGAGCATATCCCTGAAAAAATCTTATGTTTAAAAATATCCACTTTAGAACCATTATCTCAGCCCTACCTTATCCTACTCCCGTAGGGTCAGCGCTCCCCGTTTTAATCCTCAAAATAACTAGCATACTTTTTCTCAGTCATCACTCTCTTTATCATGTCAACTTTCACGTCTTTCTAAGTCTACCTCTACCAGTGTACCATAATATCTAACGTCTTTTTTGACCGACTTCCCAAAAGAAGGAGGTACTCAATTCGTCTGTATGTTTTTTTTTTATTTTTTTTTTTTATGTGTGTTACGGCATAACT